AGCATTTGTATACATGTTTGACTTGTTTTAATATACTATTTTAAAACAAGTGAATTGTGTGTTGTTTGTTTATTGTTGAAATTCATCGCCAACAAGTCACAGATGCCTACTATAATGAATCTGGCCCATCCATACATACAAAACCTGACACAATTTTAGTACTGTAAACTAGAAGGTAAAGTTCATTATCAAATTAGAACTTGTCTAGAGATAAAACAAGGCTGGCAAGGTCAGTTACTTTTTGAGATTCTGATGGTTAAAAAGGGTGAGGGTAGATTTCAGAATGTCAAGTCATTCATCTTGTGGAATATTAATATAATCCATTGTAGACAGAAGGCTGTCAGGCAGTAAGTGTCCATTGGTATTGATTTCCTCCAGGATATTAAGTGAGTCATGTCCTTCATGTAAGAAGAGAGAGTACAGGGAATACCTCTAATGTAATGGCCCACAAAAGCAGGCAGCTTCTCAGTAGTCATGTTTGTATTAAAAATTATGGGTCAGCCAGGATTATTAGGTTTGTGTATTTTAGGTAAAAGATATAACCTAAAATCATAAATAATATTCAATGTTAAACTGGTACACAATTAAAAACATTTTATTTAGGACTATCTATGGCCTTCAAAAAGTTGAAAACTCTACATGTTTCGACATTACAACGTCATCCTGTCATACAAGCCTGTCTGGGTATCAAGCACTGGAAGGTTTCTTTCTAAATATTCTTGTTTTGGAGGAATTCTTTAAGTTTATTACTGAAAATTTTAGTAAACTGAGTTTGAGTCGTGTGCAAGTTTCTTCCTAAACATTAATAGCATCTGAAAATTTCAATTTGAAACAAATTGTTTCATTTCATCTATGTTTACAGTAAACTCTACAAACCTTCAGAATCTCTTCCTCATCTTTCTTCTTCTGCTGTGCAGCTGCTAAAAGTTTTTGCTGCATCCCTTGCATAGCCTGCTGGATCATCTTCAGTTGCTTCTCCCTGGAGTCCTGATCTTGTCGCCCATCTGCTTTTAAAACTTCAACTTCATTCTTATAAGCATCTAGCTGACAGCGAAGAGAATCATTTTCTTCTTTCAAGTTATTTACCAACTGATTAGTCACATCTGTATAGAAAAAGGATTTTATAAGTGTATAGCCAACTACAGAAAATTCTACTATATTAGTGAACACCATGTTGCTTTGAACAATACTTATCACATCTGAAAAATATTTATAAATATTTAGTGATGACATGGTTTATTCACAGTTACTGCTTTCATCATTGTTAACAGAAGCTGTAATATGCAAATTTCACTGCTACTTGCATCAGTTTAAATAAATCTAGTTAGTTAAGAGTAGGTCAAGTTACTACATGTATGATTAAAGGTAATGTTAGGAATGACCAGGTTTCACTGATCACTGCTTTACTATTTGTGTGATGAACATCAAGATATCATGAGTGTTAATTAAATCAAACTGTTTTATCTGATACTCAAATGGCTTGAGTGATTTAGGAAGTTTTGTGAATGAGCTTATTATGAGCCCAAAGCTTGTATATGTGTGTATATGTATATTTTTTTCTTCTTCTTTTGGTTATTAAATTTCTATTTTATGAAGTATTATGCAGTCCAAATAAAATAACTTTAGAGAATATATTTACATATATACAATGCAACCATAATGAATCTTACACTGTGGTTCACTGCCTATTGAATTATTCAATTTCAGCTTTCATCATCACTTGCTCCTCATTCTATCTGTATGCTAGTTAAGATTTTCAATTAACTAAAGATTTTACAAGAGTTTTAAAATGTGGGCTTACCATAAGATATATGGAAACTTTCTCCTTGCTGAACTCGAGTCTTTTTGACAGCTGGCTGATCACCAGCTTCTTCATCACTTACGTCCATTTCATCCTCTTTCCGTTCATTCAGGACCTCTTCAAGCTGAGCATTTTTTATTTCCTGTATCAAAAATAAAACTCATTATATTACATACAGTCATTTAGTTAATACATAACTTGTTCTTTTATCATGCTTAATATGCAGAAGCACAAAATCCTGCTTGTTTTTTTTTGCAAAAGTCTTAAGCGTATAAGAACATTTTCATTAGTTTCACCAATAAAGTCAGAAGCAATCACTCTGTATTCGTACCTTTCCACAATACATCAACGTTACGTACACAACATTACTTATGTACACATTTTTATTCCCAATTCTCTTGCTATAAAAATCATTAAGTTCATCTAGGAAAGGTGTTACATAACTAGTTTTACTAATGTTGCAGAGTCAGTGTAGAATATTTCTGTTTTCTACAAAGTTAGGCCACAGCAACAATATAACACCTATTCTGCTATTGTATACCACTTTTGTCTGCAGTATGATTACACTATCAATCTCTTTTAGGTACAAATAACCTTAAGAGTACAGTTTACATGATATGATTACCTAAACTATTTTAGTTAGTACTAAACAAAGAATCTTTCCCTGAAAACCTAAAAAACTGAAATCTTAAATTAATAGTTCTAGAATAAGGAGTTTTTTAAGGATCAGATGCTGCCACAACTGTATATATTCATTACAATGTAACCAAAATCACAATTAAACAGCAATAAAGGTTAAAGTATAGTTTACATCCTACCACAATTTCAGTACAGATTGTTTATTATTATTATAGAAGTACAATAAAAAACTTGTTATATCTATTTTATATATAGCATAATAAATATACAGTTATAATAAATATGCTTCATTATGAAAGTTTTTAGTCCACTAAAATATTTTGCCACAAATTAATATGTGGGCATTTAGTAAGAATGGAACACTGTGGCAAAAATATACATAAAGTTCTTTGAGTTAGAACTTATCATTTTCACCATGGCTCCAGAAAGTTGAAATTTCAAATAATTTAATGATTTAAAAGATCCCAAAGTTCTTTGCATTAATAACATCACAGCTATACATTAGAACAATTTTTGTTGTTGTACCAAAATAAAGCCCACTAATTTACCTGCATAAAATAATGTTATAAAACTCATATAATTAGACTATGCTTTATAGTAAACACTAACTTCCTGTCACATTTAAGGTTAATATGTACAGATCCCCTTGAACCTAGCTTTCCTGCTGAACACACAGTAGCTAATTATTGCATTTGTTACAAACATTTAAATAAATAAAAATGTTCAACTTTAAAATAAAAAATAAATTGTGATGTAACAATAAACTGGCATCAATAAGCATGTAAACACATTTTAAAGATTGGACTTTCCAAACAAAAATAATATATATAAATAAAATACA